AAATTTTTTTATATAGGCAACTCTCAGCTTAATTTTCTGTGGATGTCAAGTACTAAGTCAAACTAACGCTTATGAGTATTCTGATCAACGTCCATGGTCCTTTGTTTATACTTTATATCCATTCTATAATTCTGAAACATTGCTTGAAGTTTGGAGAGGAGACAAAAGTATAGATATCTCCACCAATGTAGTAACTATAGCTCCACATGAACAAGAACAAACAGTCGTGTTTTCTGATGATGTTCAACGTAATGGTACAAATTTAAAATCACAAGATAATTTATCTTATTTTTTAAGTGAAACAAAAAATATAAATGAGGAACAATTATTAAAAAACAGACAGCGACTCTCTAACTATGTAAGCATTAATTATTATTCTTAAAATTGTATTATAATAAAAATTTTTTATATTACTACTTATAAAATATGTATTTCGATATTACAGAGAAACAGACATAAAGATACAACTCTTCAAAATGAATAAGAAGATGTTTGGATATCAACTGGATTTTATGATTTGAAAAAATTTATATGTATATTTATGCATTAAAATGATGATTTTAGATAGTCAGTGCTGCTGTATTTTGCACTATATTATTAACAATAAAAAATTATTTTGCTTGTAGGAAATTATATTAGTATTTGCGTTAAAAAATTTTATTAAACATGAAGTAATTTATATATAAAATTTAAATATTTTTATTTCCAATTCCTAAATTGAAAATTACATTGAATTTTTATTTACTTTAATATTTTGTATTTTTAACTATTTATAATTATTATAATTTGCAACAATTTGTAAATATTTTGTATCAATTTTGCATTAAACAAAATTCTTTTATATTTCGTGATTATTTCTGATTATTAATTGATATTTTGTATCATTAGTACCATTGTTTTGTAAAATTAGATTGTGTAAATTGTTTGACTCAATTATTTATATATATTTAATTGTTTATAAATAATTTATTTCATACTTAATTATTATAGTGTTTGAAATTCGCGCTTTAACATCATGTATAACATATTTATTCTAACAATATTTGCTAAAACATTTGATTTTTCTTTGTGTATTTCCTTTTCAAATAAAAAATAAAAATCAAATCAAAAATTTCTTATTGAAATTTCCATAATTTGTTAATTAAGGAGACTTTTATAAGTTTTGAGTTTTATATTTCAGTTTTTCGCGCGAGTTTAGTTACAATAGGATTATGTTTTCTTAACCAATCAGGAAGTAGTTATATGAATTGTTGTCGGAAATGTGTTAGTTTAGTGCCAAAGAGTGATAGTAAGACGTGTTACCCTTTGAAATGGTACGAGTTTAGTTATTACTTTTATTTTAATTCGATTAGATTTAATTTTCATCAAACATATTTTTTTAAAAGTCTTTCATTTTATTTTGTACAGATCATTGATTGATTATGAAGATAACTTCCAAGAAATTGAATGCTAGTAGTGAATGAGAATCTAAATGAGAATAATCTATTGGAAAATCTTTCATGCAGCTTTGATAAAATTTAATTTATAGTGATTAAAACAAATATTTCTCTATAGATATCTCATTTTGTTCCATAGTTCGTAACATTTATTTATTTATGATATTTATTACATACACTCTATATATATTAATTAACACTCTATATATATTCTTAATAAATAATTTTTGGAAAGGGATGGTAGATTTGAATATGTTCTGCGCATTACGTCATTTGAACATTGCGCAGTTTTATTTAACCAATAACTACGTTTTTTTATAAATCAGCCAATCATATTCGTTTTTGGTTGAATCTCCACCCCTTCAAATTAGTTCGCAATATTGTTGCGCGGGGATTAGTCCATTGTTTCAAATCGTATTGTTAAGATATCTCTCTGTGTCGTGATATTTATTAACTGTATATGTGTATAATACTCCTATATTGTTCACATCCATCCTATCATTAACCCTGTTTAATGAATGTATGTTTTTAATTAATAATTTACTGAATATTATAATTCATAGCTAAATTCTCTTTTTTCTTTTAATCAAATTTTGTCTTTTAAACAAAAATGTAACTATTTTTCTATATTGTATTTTCCAAAGTTTTAATATTAAAAAATACAATAAAAAGTTTTAATTATTAAATTTTTTTTATTATTGAGCATGAATTTTGTGTATTTGATTTAGACCAGATTTTTTATTTTTTATTCCAAATTATCATTTCGCGCGAAACACGCGATTACAGCGCCCCAACGGTGAAATATGCAATACTCTTCCAACGATTCTCGAATATATCGATATTTCTTATTATCGATTTTTAAGCGGGAAGAATAGCGGAAGGAAGCACACCTCATCTCTAAAGAAGAAAGTATTATCCAGAAAAATCATCGAGAAAAAAGTGTCATCCAGAAGTTTTCAGTCTTTTAGTGTTCTTTTTTTGTATTTTTTCTTATTCAACATTCATTTTCGGTATATTAGAGTCAGTGTTGAAGAGGATAAGGCTGTAAGGTCGTAATTAATTTTATATATTGTACTTCAATTTACTCAATTTTTCAAATTTGACAACAAAGTATAATATTTCTTTTTTTACAGATGCTTCACAGCATCAACTTTTTGCTATATTTTGGGGAAAATCCAACGGTGGCTCCAAAGCCAAGAATGTAAGAACATTTTCATTATCTCGAACTTACAATTTTGTTCTTCTTTTAAATACAAATTCTAATGTTTAATGTTTTGTCACAGATCTTCTATAGATCTTCTCCACTTTCCCCAATCCTCCAAAAATCTTATAATGCTTCAAAATGTATTATTAAATTTATTTCAAAAATATTTTTGACATCAACAAAAGTAGTATGCACTAAATATAGAAAATTCTATGAAATATCCAAAATAGAATGCTCGTTATAATATAAAATGACTGAAATAAATTTTTACTTAATATCTATTTCTCCAATGCTATTTTAGAAAAGTATGAATTTGTAGAAGACATTCGCACTCTGGCAAACCTTTACAATTACATTGGTTTATTTAATTGATTAAATCAATCAATAGTCTAGCGATTTCTGATTGACAATTAAAATATTTGACTGTTTAATTGATAATTGGGTAAATTTATTTTCATTTATTGTTAAAACTTCCGTTTTTCTCCAAAAATACCCAAAATGGTACAGTGGTTAAGTGACTTCCCAAACGTTGTTAGACGAAGTCAATGTTAGTCAATGATATCACCTGCCCACTACTTGATCAATGGATCACTACTTGATCAAGGAAAATGAGAATACTTTACCGTCCTCAGCCTAGAGTACATTAAAAAAGTCATTGATTTTACCATCTCGGTATTTCAGAGCATCTGCCACAAAGTCCTATAATCAAAGTATAGTCCTTACACTGTCCATGGATAACATATGAAAATTTCAATTAAAGGCAGTGTATATTATTTTTAATATGGCCACAAAAAATAATATATTTTAATATATATTCAAAGTATTATTAATAAAATATTTAAAAATTTTGTTCAATTATTATATCTGTGTAACATATGAGAATTTTACTGTAAATTAAATTTTTTTTATTAATATATTTATGTTTAGATCGTGAAATAACAAAAGGAAAGAAATTTTTACGTTCTAAACTGAACTGTAGGTTGTTTTGTATTTGTAATATATTACAATATAATTATTGTAGAAGTGTTCTTTATTTTTTGTTCTTAGTTAACATTTCGCGCGAAACGCGCGATTACAGCGCCAGTGGTGATATACGCAATACACTTCCTACGATTCTCGAATATATCGATATTTTTCAATCGATTTTTAAGAGCCAAATATGGCGGAAGGAAGCACACCTCATCTGTAAAGAAGGAAGTGTTATCCAGAAAAATCATCGAGAAAGAAGTGTCATCGAGAAATTCTCAGGTAAAAATTTAAATCAATAGTTATTAGATTTGTGTTTGTGTTGTGTATTTTTAAGATAAAACGTGCATTTTTGGTTTCAACTCAAGGTAAGATTTAACCAAATAATCGTTACATCTAATTTTCAATAGTTAAAGAAATAATAGCATATAAACATTTAAACATACTGTGCTAAAAGTTATTTATAATTTTATATCAAAATTTAATTCCAATTTAATTTCAATTCTTGTATAAATATTGTAACCTTGCAATTAACTAACTCATATATGTATTTTTTTATACGTTTTTACACACACATTTCTATTATAACATTTTATACTTATTTGTTGATTCTTTAACTTCATGTTCTATAATTTTTTACAATTTTAATACTAAACTAAACGATAGTTCATTAAGAATGTATGTATTTAATGGTTAAAATTTTACCGATAGTTTGTCTTATACGCTTTTTCAATAGAATTCGAAGTTGATTATCGTTTCATTTTTGCACATTTGCCTTCATTTGACACGTTTGTTCTGATTTTGTTTTTTTTTTTTTTT